AGATTTGTAGACCCAGAGGCTTTATTTTAACTCTCTCTCTGATTTTTCATATATAGATTACAAATCATTGAGTTAACTAAATTGCACTAATTATTCAGGCTAGGCAGTTTTAAAATTGTATAATGAAGCTGTACGGCTCTGTTCAATGTGCACATAATAGTCTGAGCTGTGCTGTCTGAAGTGAAACTTGGCCTAAACATGAACACACACAATTTAAAACAACGCATGTAGTGAGCGCTCAGTAAAGAGATAATTGTGCTGACTTTAATTGATACTGTTCTTGTCAGATGGGTATATTCCTAACACACCGTGACTAATGCTAATTTGTGTAATTTCCCTCCCCGGCCCCAGCTTTCTTCCACAAATAAAAAATATATGGGAGTGCATCTTGAGATTTCTCTAAAGAAAACACTGTGGAATTCACAACCTCAAAGCAGAAATTGTGCCAAGAGCAAGCTGTTTGCTTTTTTTGCTAATGGACTACTTTAATCTGGTATCCTCAGAAGTAATACTAGGTATCTTCCTACATGCTTGAACTGTGTCACTGAAAGGGGCTGAACTGGCAGCACAAGACATTGGAGGCACACTTTCACCTAAGGAGCCTAATAAAGTCTCTCTTGTAGACCCCAAATATTGCATTAATTCCCGAGTGGTTTGATTACAGCCACTCCCATATGATCAGAGAAAAAGAGACTGGAAGGAGAAGCAAGAACACTGCACATGTTTAGTTATGTGTGAGAGAAATTCCCATTCAGTGCATGTATTCAGGTTGTTTATCTTTATTGTAGTAAGACACACAAAGCTATGCATCCCAAATAACTTTTCCAAAAAAGCTCAGGGTTTGGTAACTGCTAGAGAACAGTTTTTTTCTTACCATTATACATTCAGAGTTTCTGAGCATCAAACAATGTTACTTGTTTTGTTCTGAGTTCTTATCCAAACTAATATCAGTGTTATGCAAATAACACAGCTTTCTATGGGTGATTGAATTCATTTTCTCCTTATAACCAGAAAGGGATCCAAACTCTTTATGAAGCAGGAATGCTTCTATCTGTTTGTTAGAGCTAATCCTATGGATCTGAATACAGCACATTCGTTTTAGTAACTAAAGTTCAGGTACAGGGAGTGGCAACAATAAGTAGGCTTGTTCTGGGTCTCCCTCTCTCCACCCCAAAGAGCCTGAAGAGGTGAGAACACTAGGAGCACCATGGGGAAAGGGGTTGAATGGAAAGAGCCTCCTAGTTAAAAGAATGGAGGAGTTGGATCCCACCTCCCCCACCATTCTAGAAGCAGTTCACACTAAAAACATGCTGCATATAAAGGAGGGAGCACTGGTTTCTCCTTCCACCAGTTTCTGACTACTAATATCCAGGCAGTGTACCATATCTGTAGCTGGAAGTGGAAATAGCTTCCACAGCGGGAGATGACAGCTCTGCATGTTAGTTAACCAGAAAGGAATACTATGAAATAAAGCTACTTAATTGGCTTCCTACAGAGTTCCATGTCTGAACTAGTTGTTTCATGCCATATACAAAAAAAATCAGCCAGAGTATAAGTTCAAAATGGTGTCTGTCACACTTGTGTCTAGGCATCTACGTTCTTCATAGGTATAATGCATAAAATGGCAAATATGACATTGAGATATAGCTTAAATTTAAGCTAACAGGTTTGGAAGCAGTTTTCATTGTACTTTACGAAGGATTGTATTTTAATTAGGGCTGTCAAGTGATTAAAAATTAATCACGATTAATTCTGTGGTTAATCACACTGTTAATAATAGAATACCACTTATTTAAATATTTTTGGATGTGTTCTACATTTTCAAATATATTGATTTCAATTAGAACACACTACAAAGTGTCCAGTACTCAGTTTACATTTATTTTTTTATTACAAATATTTGCACTGTAAAAAACAAAAGAAATAGTATATTTCAATTCACCTAATATAAATACTGTAGCACAATCTCTTTATAATGAAAGTTGAACTTACAAATGTAGAATTATGTACAAAAAATTACCGCATTCAAAAATAAAACAATGTAAAACTTTAGAACCTACAAGTCCACTCAGTCCTACTTCAGCCAATCGCTCAGATAAACAAGTTTGGTTACAATTTGCAGGAGATAATGCTGCCCAGGTCTTTTTACAATGTCACCTGAAAGTGAGAACGGGTGTTCTCATTGCACTGTTGTAGCTGGCATCGCAAGATATTTACATGCCAGATGCGCTACAGATTCATATGTCCCTTCATGCTTCAACCACCATTCCAGAATACATGTGTCCATGCTGATGCCAGGTTCTGCTTGATAATGATCCAAAGCAGAGCGGACCAACCCTTGTTCATTTTCATCATCTGAGTCAGATGCCACCAACAGAAGGCTGATTTTCTTTTTTGGTAGTTGGGGTTCTGTAGTTTCCACAATGGAGTGTTGCTGTTTTAAGACTTCTGAATGCATTCTCCACACCTCGTCCCTCTCAGATTTTGGAAGGCACTTGAGATTCTTAAACCTTGGTCGAGTGCTGTACCTATCTTTAGAAATCTCACATTAGTACCTTTTTTGTGTTTTGTCAAATATGCTGTGAAAGTGTTCTTAAAATGAACATGTGCTGGGTCATCATGCGAGACTGCTATAACATGAAATATATGCCAGAATGTGGGTAAAACAGAACTGGAGACATACAATTCTCCCCCAAGGAGTTCAGTCACTAATTTAATTAACGCATTATTTTTTAACAAGCAACAGCAGCATGGAAGCATGTCCTCTAGAATGGTGGCCGAAGCATGAAGGGGCATATGAATGTTTAGCATATCTGGCACGTAAATACCTTGCAACGCTGGCTACAAAAGTGTTATGGAAATGCCTGTTCTCACTTTCAGGTGATATTGTAAATAAGAAGCAGTCAGCAGTGTCTTCCGTAAATGTAAACAAACTTGTTTGTCTTAGCAATTGGCTGAACAAGAAATAGGACTGAGTAGACTTGTAGGCGCTAAAGTTTTACATTGTTTTGTTTTTGAGCGCAGTTATGTAACCAAAGAAATCTACATTTGTAAGTTACGCTTTCATGATTATGAGATTGCACTACAGTACTTGTATGGGGTGAATTGAAAAATACTATTTCTTTATCATTTTTACAGTGCAAATATTTGTAATAAAAAATAATTTAAAGTGAGCACTGTACTCTATGTATTCTGTGTTGTAATAGAAATCAATATATTTGAAAATGTAGAAAACATCCAAAAATATTTAATAAATTTCAGTTGGTATTCTATTGTTTAACAGTGCGGTCAATCATGATTAATTTTTTTAATGGCAGTTAACTCACGCAAATAAACTCAAAAAATTAACTTTGATTAATTGACAGCCCTAATTTTAATGGCACAGAATTTAAAGGAAAAAAATATTTGACATTGTATTTTCAAGTTCTGAACATTACTTTACATTTAGAATTTAACATGAGCTTCCTATAAACAACAGGTATATCCATACTAAAATGTGCCAGGTGAAAGATTAAGCTTTCATACAAAGTAAAGTCAAAGTTTATATGTCTGCAAGCACTGAGTTATTGAAATAAGTTCATATTTTCTCTTTCTTTTTGTGAAACACATGAAGCTCTGGATTTCTCTGGACAGCATATATAATGCTTTTGTCATGCAAGTATAACTTGTTAAATACCTGCTACTTTTTTGTTTCCACAAACATGCACACACTAGGAATAGACTTATTCCTTTAACAGAGTTCTCATTTAAAACACTTCTTCAGTTGGTTACTCGTGTCATCTGAAAGCTTAAGTTTTCATTATAGTTTTGATTTAGTCTGCTAAAAGTGTCTTTTATCAGATATTCATTTACAAGGGCTTCATTGTACTGAATTTCAGAATATTTTTATTTGCGCTGCAATCTAATTTAACATGTACTTCTACATTGTACTCCATTGCTTTCAGAATCCAGCACATCCTAATGCACTTTAAGAAGCTTTACATTTATATTGTACAAAACCTTTTGTACCTTACTTTTATGAACTCTTAACGTCAGCTTTTCAGTGGCAGGTGCTAGTTGCTAAAGGAACAATTTCCTTCTCCTGTGGCTCTGTGCCATACAAGAAATAAGATTTTTTCAGCCAAGCTTTGGGCTTGATTCTGCTACCAGGGAAGTCGGTGGCAAGACTCAGGCTTTTAGACTCTTTCTCTTCTCCCTCCCCCATATATTCGTAATGATTGCAAAGTAGCCAGATTCAAAATTCCATTAGTTCTCGTCACTTCAGGCTGGGTTATATAATCTGATATAGGTTCTTACTGGTTTAGAGAAGGCTACATTTGACCTCAAATAACTGAATGATGGAGGGTGAAATCCCTGCTGTGATGTGGGGGGCCAGTGAAAGACCTTGTATATCAGTTACTAATAAACTCCAGGTAGGGGCTGCAATGGGGGACTGTGGGCACACCAGCTGTGCAAGGGTGAGTCTATCCCTTACTTGCTGTGGAAAGGGTCCTCACACTTGCTTTATGTAGTCTATAAAAGACTGGAATGGAGCAAGAAGAGGAGCTACAATATTCTCAACTGCATGGATTTAGTAACCCAACATTCTCCACAACTGGTATGGAGGAGCTATGTCCTTTAGTTTTATAGCTAAGAGGATGAAATGACATTGTGGGGAGCTGTGTGTCAGTCTCTGGTCTTGGCTTCAGGTTTTGGGGTTGATTTCCTCCCTCTCCCTTGACTCTCCATATTGCACATTCACAGAGCATGAACACTCTGGCTTTATGTAATGGATTTTTGCCTTCACTCCAAAAAAAAAAAAAAAGATTTGTCTTTGAGATTCATTCGGGAAGTGTGAGTATTATGGAAAAATTGTTAGGACTATGGACATAAACTCAAGTGTTGCCAGTGCCCCTTGCTTAGTAGCTTACATAACCATTATGCTTTATATTTACACAGGTTCTCCTGAAGAAAAGCCATTTAAGAGACATAGTTAGTTCTTATGTGCTTTTTTATTTCAGGTTGCTGTCTCAAAGGAAAGGATGCTAAAGATGATACAGCTAAATTAAGAACCTATTGGAAAGTGAATCATGCACCTTTCTGAAAGGAGCTGAAATGCAGCCCTCTGACAGGGTCATGAACCTGAGACAAGTCTTTGTGACTATATTGATGTTTGGAGTAGCAGGTCTACTCCTCTTCATGTACCTGCAGGCCTGGATTGAAGAACATCATACAGGTAAAATAGCTTTCTTAACTGTATTGCCTCCATAGCTTTAAGTTGCTGCTTTAAGCTAAAAGAATGATTTGTTGAGAGGGTGTGGTGTGGATTTTTTATGGGGAGGGAGGGCAGCGGAATTGGGACCGTAACACTTTATACTACAATGCAGCAATCAGCATACATATCAAGGAATTGCCCCATGCTATGACTTGCATTTATCAAGCATCTTTTGCTGCTACCTAAGGCCTTGTCTACACTACGGGGGTAAGTCGACCTACATTACGCAACTCCGGCTATGTGAATAATGTAGCTGGAGTCAACGTAGCTTAGGTCAATTTACTGCAGTATCTACACCGCGCTGCGTCAACGGGAGAAACTCTCTCCCATTGATTTACCTTATTCCTCTCATTCTGGTACTGGAATCGACAGGAGAGTGATCTGCAGTCCATTTAGCGGGTATTCACTAGACCCACCAAATCAACACCCGGTGCATCGATCGCCACAGCATCGATCCCAGTAAGTGTGGACATGCCCTAAGTGTTCTGCATGAATAAACACAAATGCAGGCAGTGTTCCACTATGGCAGGAGTGCCACTGTTGTACTAACTCATCATACAGCCGTAAAACAGTTTTTGGTTTTCTCTGAGTTTCATCTGAGTGACACGTTGTCTTGCGAAGAGAAGGTTTTAAGTCCTCCCTTCCCTTCTCTCCCCTCAACCCTGAGCCCTCCCGCCCCAATTTAAAAAGCAACTCTTTTTATTCCAAACACCTGTATCTCCTTTACAGCACCTCCCTGCTGTTTACTGTCCCTGATTATGATCTCTCTTCTAAAAATATGGTCACTTAAATGTTGCTACTAAGTAAAACAATTTGAAACATTTGTGAACATACAGTGCAATTTGAGATTACTTTAATATGGATATTGAATTTACTCTTCAACTGGATTTTTTACTTTATTGTCTGTATACCTGTGGCTTTTTGGCAATGAACTAGCTTGGAGTTTTGGGAGGTTCCAAGTTGACAACTATCAAAAAGATTTTGTGTGCTTCTTTAATCATATCAGTAGCAGCGTGCTGCTAGTGAGACAGCTAGAGGTTCTTAGTCTGAAAATGACTGTGTTTTTTGTTTTGTTTAAAAAAATGTAAAGCATGCTTTGTGCACACTTTGGAACTGTCACGCTAAGAGCCTTTAGGGACAAATGTTTTTGTGGTAGGCAGAACTGGTTTTAGCCTTTGCAGTGCCCTGCTCAAAATGTACAAGTGTCATGTCTGCATGCAGCTGCTATGTGACTGAAAACTGGCTAGGTTTGAGTTTAGAAGATTATCTGCTCCTACAGCACTGAGCATTCAATTTCCTGGTATATCTTAACTGAAGCCTGGTACATTGCTGGAGCATCTGCTAAACTTCACATTATTGCTAATATAAATGTTCTACTCTGGTTTCAAAGGCTCTCCTAGCTGTGGTGTTACATGCCTCCTAACCAGACCTGGATTTTTGTAGGGAAGCAGAAAACTACATGTTCATTAGCACTCTGTCCCCTGATAGGTTACAGGTTAGATATTTACTTCCACTCTAATCATTTTTTTTCCTCATTAGAATACACTCTTTGCTATCTCTCCTCTTTCTCCAAGTGCTCATGTATGCTCACACCGGACGTAACTCCATGTTCTTCTATGGCTTGATCTCACTCACTCACCAGCCCCTCACATCTTTCATTTTTCAATAGTGCTACGACTCCCACATTTGCCTTATGAATGTCCTCTTGACTTGGTCTTCCCCAAGCACCTCTGTGTCCACTCTGATTTAGCTTTTCACACTTGTTCTGTCACTCTCATCTCTCAGGAAACCCAGTTTAGAAAGTAACTCGCTAATCTCAAATCCTTCCTGAGCCATCTGTTGATTCAGTGATCTCAGCTTCCAACTCTACCATGTACTCTACTCTTCTGTCCTCTGCTCCTCTCTCCCACTGCTCTGTGCACCTGGAATCATCTTTTTGCTCTTTCAGTTCATGCTCCCTGCCCTTGTGTACAGCAAGGAAAGGGGAAGAATAGTAGCTAAAGGGGTCTCAGAAGCAGCTTCTTTCAGGAGCCATCTCCTCTGGTTTGCCAGAAGAGACTGTCTGATGGGACTGAGCAGGTGCATTATACTGTCTTCAGTAAGAGAGGATGAAGGCCTCCCAGAGGGTGAGGGTAAGTATGCCCCCTACACTTATCTTAGATTACTAGAGCACTGTTGCCTGGTGTGCTGGATTGAACTGATCAGAGAGCTGTATGGGGTAGCACAGCACTAGTGTGCTGAGGCATCAGTGCCTGAGGGGTTCCCTGCATGGCTACTGGCCTTACCTGGGCAGAACTTCCATTGAAGCCAACATGTACACAACAGTCTTGAAGTGTGGCCTTTTATGTGATGTCAGTGTGAGTTTTGCCTGAGTAAGGATTACTGGGTTTGGCCCATTCTCCATGCTATCTGAGGTACTTCAGAGAAAACATCAAGTATTGTGGCATGAATTGAAATGTAGTAGCTATTTCTTAATGTTGTTCTTTAAATTTAAAGACCCTGTGAATAATAGCTGAGCTGTGTGGCTGAGGGACAGGTGCCCTTATGCCTGGGCCGCTTCCTACCTTGGCTTTTGTTCCTCCGTCAATGCCACTGGTCTGTTTCTGGATTCCTTCTGGAGTTCTCTGTGCTCCGAAAGGTCTTCCTTTATTAGTGGCAGTCCATCGTTCCTGGTCTCCATGGGGTAAAGGACTTATGGCCGCTCAGCAGTGGGGCCTGATCTCTGCCACATGGAGCCCCAGCAGCTTCTCTGAAGGAGCTTGCAGTTCAGGACTTTGTGCACCCAGACTGAGCTGAGCTGCTCCATTTTGAGCCCCACCTCCAATGTGAGCATGCCAAGCAGCTGTGGCTGGGCAGGGCCTTCTGGGCCCAGAGCTATTCTTTAACCCTCAGTTCACCAGGGTGTATGAGCACTATACCATCGCACTCTTGCACATCAGCCCTGCAAAGTTACCACACCAGCATTCCAAAACATACAGTTAGGATCCTTAATTCCAAAATTTCTCCTCTTAGTTGATGTCTGGCTCCTGACATGAATTAATGTGGCTTAGTCAATAAGTACAGCTGGCTGAAGACTACAAAATAATTCGTGAATAGATGCTGTAAGTTTGGCAGCTTGGTTTCATTGTTGTTTTTTTAATAGGGTTATATTGCTCATTGTTGGCAAGTATTCCAGTGGGTGGTTGGTGGTCATGAAAACATACATGAATGCTGAATTTCCTTGGACTTCAGAACGAATGATTCATCTGGAAAGTTATGCCATATGCCCACTCCCTGAGCACCACTGGTTCCTGAGGATGGAAAAGTCCACTTATTCATCCCTCCTTGGTGGCTTTGTAGCTCACCTGAGATGAATCTGGGCTCTCTATATGCTTCTCTCCTTCCCTTCTAGAGCATCAGAGAAGCTGTGTCCCCTCCTGCTGCAGTCAGACTCCCTGCAGTTAACTTTCTTCTCCACAACTCCCGCTCTGTCTGGGCTCAGCAATAAAGCTGATCAAAAAAATTCTGCCAAAACATTTTTATAAGAATTTGCCAATTTGTCAAAATCAAAATGTTTCACCAAGATGGTTCAACTTCCACAAAATTCCAGAACCGAGGCAGGGTTCCATCACAAGAGTGCCTGGTTTCCTGCAAGCTCACTCACCCAGCAGCACACCAAATGGACTGCCTAGGACCTGGGGCTTGATTCCCTTTTATGGAGACTTCTGAAATTTTTGGTTTCTCATTCAAAATCTGAACAAAACCAGATTTCAAAATATTGATTTCCTCTGCAGAATAGAACATCTTTTTCTGCCTAGCTCTACCCATCACTCATGCCTGGGCAGTCTCAATCTTATGCAGGCTACCCAGGGCATGTCAGTCAGGCTCCTTGTTCCTATAGACTGTTCATGGTTCAGCCACATTAATAGGCAGATCCTTAAGGACTGGAGAAACCTGTTCTCATCTGGAACCTCCAGATAGCAGGGGGATACATACCTAAAGGATTAGATTTAGTATTTCTCATTTGTTAAGCTTTTATTAAAAGACAATCTAATCAGGGAGCAGAAACAGTATCATGTGACTTAGATGACCAATCACACACCATGAACTGCCAAAGCAAATAATTCATGAATAAGCCTGTCATAACCATAAGGGTAGCCTAAAATTCCTCCTTACCTGTAAGGGGTTAAGAAGCTCAAATAACCTGGTTGGCACCAGACCAAAGGAACCAATGGGGACAAAAGATACTTTCAAATCTTGTGGGGGGGAGGGGAGAAAGGCTTTTGTTTGTGCTCTTTGTTTACGTGGTTGTTCTCTCTTGGGACTGAGAGAGCCCAGACAGAAATCCATCTTCTCCAACCCATCCTAATCCAAGTCTCCAATATTGCAATCAGTATAAGTAAGCCAGGCAAGGCGGATTAATTTATCTTTTGTTTTATGTGAATTTTCTCTGTGTTAAGAGGGAGGTTTATTCATGTTTTCTGTAACTTTAAGGTTTTGCCCAGAGAGGGATCCTCTGTGTTTTGAATCTGAATACCCTGTAAAGTATTTTCCATCCTGATTTTACAGAGATGATTTTTATCTTTCTTTTTCCTCAGGAACACCCTCTAAGAACTGCTCCATTTGCATTTGGAAGGGTAATCTTCTGGAGATTTAACACTTGCTCCTGATATCCAGGCATCCCAATGTTTCACAATGTGGTAGGCATGTCGGGTAAATGACACGTCTGGTTTCCACCTTAGGGCTCTGAACTGCCGATAGGAATGCTCGGGTGTTAGCCCCAATCTGACTCTCGCCTGGGTTTTAAAAAGTTCATAACTGTTCATGTGTTCCTTAGGCATTTCAGCCGCCACCTCTGCTAAAGGTCCACTGAGCTGTGGTCTCAACTCTACCATGTATTGGTCTGTAGAGATGCTGTACCCAAGGCAGGCCCTTTCGAAGTTTTCTAAGAAGGCCTCAGTATCATTATCTGCCTTGTCGGT